AACCGCATCAGATAGCATTAAATTTGACTCGAAGTATTCAGTGATCTAGCAGCCATTTAGTTTTTCTGTCTCGATGAACAAGGAAGAATCTATTTTGCTGGTTATATATCACTTTGTGCAAAGGGATTGAACTATATACCGTTATCATTTTTGGTTGGCTTTTTTGTTGCAATTGTAGTTGCCCGATGGTGGGAACAGTTCAACTGGATCAGTTGGCCAGATAAACTTATGATGACAGTTGCAGCCTGTTTTCCGGGCAAAAAAAATTTGAATATTCGGCAAACTCTAGCTAGATGGTCTAGTCTACAGGTATTTCAGTAACCGATTTATTCTGCCAATCAATAGTGTATTTGTTAAAATTTGCCATTTGTTTTCTTCTTCTTCTGTCTACATAAAATAAAATGTTTGTTTTTTTGACTAATATAAAAGTGATCTTCCTAAAGTAAAACTTCTTCAAAAAGGCTGCGGGTGACTTTCAAGTTAAGAACAACAGAGATCAGAGGGATCACAGAAATGTTCTTACAGGGATTAAAAAACCAAAGTGATTGGTGTAAAAATAAAGTAAGCAAAGTAAGACCAGATGACTGAAAAACTAAAATGAAATTCAGGAAGTTAAACAAGTGAATCAGAAAACTTCATAGTGCTAAAATTTCTTCTACTTTATACTGAACAGAAATATCTTTTGGAGTGGTTTAATATGGAATTTTCTAAATGTTAGAAACAAAAAAAATAATTTTTTTCGGTCTTTTTTTCCACCTTTCACTTTACAGGCAGCAACTGCCTGGTCTGGCGTATCTGTAAGGTCGTATAAACGATTCCCAACTGAAAAGCATCTTCTAAACGCCAAATTGTTTACTGACGAAGAATATAAAATGTATACGTCGATTCAAGCGCCACATGGCAAATGGTTTCTTCACTGCTTTTTCCTTCTACAAAAAAGTAGAAAAGAAAGCTAAATGTCAGACCCTATACATTTTTCCCCATCTTTCACTTGACTCGCCAACACGCAAAAAAGTTCAAACTTTTTAAAAAAAAATACAGTTAATTTTTTGCAGGTTTATTCCAACATTATGGTCTTTAAACTTAATCAGTAATTTATACAGAAGAAAGAAAGTTGACCCATTACAGTTCAAAATGCTCATCGATCACATTTATTCGTATCGTGATGGATTCTCAATGCTTTACGTCTATGACTGGATAAAGATTCCGCTAGTTTATACACAAGTTCATTTCCTTACTTTTCTCTTATCACTATTTCGTTCTTTCGAAACCATTTTTAAAAAAGCTGAATTTAGAAGCAAAAATTATTTCAAATTTCACGGAAGTCAGATAGAATTGACCGTCTAAAAATGATGATATACACAGGTCATCATCCTCATCCTACTGTCTCGATAAGAGTAAATTAAGAAAAACTGTCTATAAAACGATACTTTTCCCTATCACTTCTATAACGGACAAATAAGTCGATGTTTGCTCCCTATTCCTATGTAATGCCTTAAAAAAGACTTTGAAAATAAAAAGAAACACTAGTTTTAAAGAGTGATAATTACGCTGAAAACAACTGTAAATAAAACTAAAAAAGTGGCATTTGTGCTAAATGCTCAAACTAGCCCAAGATTTTGATAAAAATTTTGAATAACTTAATTGTGAAGACAAAGCAGCAAAGAAGCTTTATTAAAAGAAATGGACAGTTTTTCTTAATTTTTCACTGTATCGTCAAACAACTCAGTTGTCCAATTCAGGCAGTTGCAATAGCCACTTACGGATACTTTGGGTTATGTTTGATTGCAAGACAACCAAGAACTGATGAGCACTCACTGAAAGAACAACCTGCACTTCTTTTTCCCATTTTAACTACCTTTCAAATAATATTTTATCTTGGTTGGCTCAAAGTTGGTCAATACCTGATGAATCCATTTGGTGAAGACGATGACGATTTTGGTAGTCTTTTTTTTTACCGCCAGATCTTACTCAAAACGAAAAAAGCAACGACTAAAGAAATAATTAAAAATGATTGTGAATGTTGTAAAAACATATCAAATCGCATTTATAGTCAAAAAGCCCATTCAGAACTAAACTACATTCTCGACCGCAACAGCTACATTGCCAAAATGATGGCAGTTGAAGTCGCCGATCAATACCCTCGAATTGGAAGCATTGGGATGACGGAAGAGATCCCGCACACTAAAGCATCATTCAGTATACCGGTAAGATTTACATAATTTCGCTGCTAATATAGCCGACTCTCCAATGAACAATTCAGTAGCCAAAAATACTCAATAATCTGTTTGATCATCCAAAATAGATCTCACTCTAGAAATTTTCACACTTGCAGGACACAATCCCAAAATCGTTATCGGTAGAAGTGCCAAAGGAAGGAATGAAAATAGTGAACACAGAACGTTTGTTTAATGCAAAACACGAAATTGAGGAAATACTGGATGACTCGTAGAAAGCAAAAACTCAGAACCATCGTTCCCTAAAACCATAGTAACCTCTTCCCTTTTATCGAATTTCAAAAACCACTCCACATAAAACACCCTCATCATGTATCGCTTTTCCCTCACGGCGCGTCGGCTACCTGGTTACACCATCAGTACGCGATCCTGCAGTGCATTGCTCTCAATGGCCATTTTTCAACTAAGCTCTTTACTTTCCACTTCTAGGCGGAAATTTAAAACAAATGTTGGATGTAATCGATGAATCGCACAAGGTTTTTTGTATGTACCATTGTACAAAACTTTTAATACTTGTAAGGTTAAATTTTGGCGACGTTTTGCATCCATACAGTTAGGCATAAAACACGTTAAATTGACAACTATTGCTATAGAGGACCTTGCAA